TGTGCAAACAAATGAGCTCTCTTTTCTCTAACCGAGAATGAGAAAATAAAATACTCCATATATATTACAACAACAACAACAACCCAGTATAATCTCACTAGTGGGGTCTGGGGAGGGTAGTGTGTACGCATACCTTACCCCTACCCTGGGTAGAGAGGCTGTTTCCAATAGAAACTCGGCATCCTTCCCTCCAAGAACTCCCCACCTTGCTCTTGGGGTGACTCGAACTCACAACCTCTTGGTTGGAAGTGGAGGGTGCATACCATCATAGCAACCCACCTTGTCTAAATTTTGAAATTTAAGATAAACACTAGTACTGTACAAAAAGTTTTAATCTTTTCCCGAGTTATTTCCATGATCGTTACGTTCTCTCCACGGTTATGGGACCCCAAGATGTGAGTTGAACACATTTAAAGGTACAATTGTTACTCATAGCTATTTAGAGCAGTAGGAATGGAGAAACTTCCGCCGGCAGGAAGCATTCTTACTTTAATGAACCCTACATGGCACAAATCCTAATTAGTTCGACTAATGAATATTAGATACCCGATAGTTAAACCAGAAAAAGCATAGATTGGACTTTGCTTTAAACTTTAACCCATCCCAACAAAAAAAAAGGTTCTATTGAAGATTTGCTAGATAGGTAAATAATCACAAAAAAATTCTTACAATTTCACAGAATGAATTCAATTAACTTCAATTCTTTGATGACACAGGTACCACTCACTGCATCACACTCAATTCAGAACAAATTACTCACTTTTTATGCCAATGTATGACCATATTTACAACACATTGGACAAATCTTCAGATACATTATATGAAAAATCACTAGAGAGGGTAGGCGAATCGCCTGATGTGGTGCATTTAACACATCTAACAACTGCAGAATCCATCTACCATCTCCGCCTAGGATTTGCATCCTTGGCCTCAGAACCTCACACCTCAAAATGGTATTTTCCAGTAATGTGGCCAATCACTTTGTGGTCTACGATGTTTACATGGTTTTATGGCCATGCATTTATTGTTGAGAGAAACATATTCAAGAATCTCAAATTGCAAACTTGGATCGTTCCAAAATATCGCGTACAAGTAAGAATATGCACTGCATACTCCCTTTGTTTCATTTATGTAGCGTAGTTTAATTGAACATAAAGTTTAAGAAAGAATAAAAGACATTTGAAACTTGTAGTCTTAAACATATATACCATAAATTCGATAAGTAATTTGTTGCCTTTTCCTTGATTTTGTTGCAGTACTTTATGCCATGGCAAAGAGAGTCTATTAGCAATTTGATGGAGAAAGCCATCATAGAAGCAGATCAGAAAGGCGTAAAGGTTTTGACTCTAGGACTTTTAAATCAGGTAAGTTAAAAAATAAGTCAATGATTCAAATGGAATTTAAGTTATATAGATTTTTGTGCGCTATTAATAAATTTAACATGTGATAGCAGGTTACTTATCATTTTTATCAAGTTATTAGTTTATATTTATTATGAAGATTTACATGTAATTACCTTATCAATGACCTGAATATTTTCCATCCACCAGTGCGATAAAACTTAAACTCATTCAAATGATGCTTGTTTGCACTTCAAATTTTGTTAGCTGTTATCAATTGTCTATAACCAGAAAAAATAATCTATTCTCTGATATTCCATAATGTGCAGCTAATTCACTAAATATTGGCTAGAGAAAGTGATGAGTTACTTGAGCTAATGTATTTGTACATTGAAATTTGATAGGAGCTACTAAATATGAATGGTGAACAATACATAAAAAGGAATCCAGAACTTAAAGTGAAGTTGGTTGATGGAAGTAGCCTAGCAGTTGCTGTGGTTCTAAACTCAATTCCTAAAGGAACTACTCAAGTGGTTCTTGGTGGCCATTTATCAAAAGTAGCTTATTTCATTGCCCTTGCTTTATGCAAAGATGGAATTCAGGTATCATTAATATTCAGTCACTAAATTGTATAGTGAATTTTCTCCAACAACTTCCGTTTCAAATATATATATATTGCTGTTATTGTTATAGGTTATCACATTGTGTGAGAATGATTACAACATGCTTAAAGCAAGGCTTACCCCTGAGGCTGCAACTAATCTGGCTACTTCAATATCTTATACTTCAAAGGTATGTATAAACAAAAAAACAATGAAATTCATTGTTTCAATCTTATACTTTGATCATCCATAACTAGAGATGGTAAACAGGCGGGTTGAGTCAAACTTCTATATGCGGGTTAAGACAGACCACGACCCAATTATTTCAATTTCGGTCATCGGGTCATAACCCAACTGTCTCTACGTGAACCAACCTCCCATCATTTTTTTTATTTTGCTTATTGATAAAACAAAATGTGAAGGTTAATGCATTTTTCTCAAATCCTTAGCTTAAATTCTTCAGATTTTACATTGTCTTCAATCTTCAAATTTAATTTTGTGCGTTTGAATTTTGGTTGTATTTTTACCGATTGGTTATACTATGATTTGTGTTGATCCAGTAGCTTAATGGATCATTTCTAGGTCAATCCGTCGGATCAACAGTCAACAAATTAGTCATTTAAATTTAGTTTAGTTGGACATATTACTAAAGTATGAGTTGATTTTGCCGCCTCTAATCTTCAGCTAACATGCCAAGATTGGTAATTTGTCCGGCGGTGACTCCTCACCTCTGAAATAATATGTTTATACATAATTAACTTAACTCTTATTTTGTAGACATGGCTAGTAGGGGATGGATTGAGTGAAGAACAACAATTGAAGGCACCAAAAGGAACATTGTTCATTCCATTCTCACAATTCCCACCAAGGAAAGCTCGCAAAGATTGCTTCTACTTCCATACCCCGGCCATGATCGCTCCCAAGCATCTTGAAAATGTTGACTCTTGTGAGGTAGGAAATAATTTAAACTTGATCTCTCCTTTATTTATTTATATATTTTGAAAACAATAGTGTCCGGGCTAGCATGCGCGTACCTCGACTATTCCACCAGTTATTTACCATCTCCCACCAGCACAGATATCGTGCAACTCTGCCCACCAAGGGCACTTAAACAAATTAAATTAGAAGAAAATCACCTAGCGTTTTTTGGTAGTCTTCTTTATTGTTGTTCAATATTTGAATACTTCTAATATATCAATATTTGTGTTCTATATTTGTTGTAACGCTAGAATTGGCTTCCGAGAAGAGTTATGAGTGCATGGAGAATAGCTGGGATTTTACACGCATTGGAAGGATGGAGTGAGCACGAGTGTGGGGACAAGATGTTTGATATTGAGAAAGCGTATAAAGCCAGTCTTGATCATGGTTTTCGCCCATTAACCTTGACTTCTGCCACTGAATCAAAGGCTTAAATCGTTTTCCTGTCCTTGGTATAATTGACCAATGGTTATTCACAAGTTATTAGTAACATGTAAGACTTTCTAGTTTAATTTGTTTGAATTTTAAGATATTTGTTATTTAACCTCTATTAATTCTGATTCTGCTAGCTCAGGTTACAATCTTATAACATTATAACTTATAAGTGTTGAGTTGTCCCACAGAGGGATTTGAGGTCCTTAGTCTCCTTATATGGTTTTGGGCAATCCTCATCTTATAAGCTAGCTTTTGGAGTTGAGTTAGGCTCAAAGTTCATTTATCAATGATATATATCAGTGAATTCCATTTCTTTATAGTGGTTACATGTATTTGCTGGTTCTTCGAACGCATTTGGCTATCTATAATGGAATTTTATATTAATATTTCTTAGTTACATGATTGTCAAGTCTTTTTTGGTGAAAGAAAAATTTTATTCATCATCACCAGAAAAACAAAAACTTACAAAACCAGAACAAAATCGTTATCTAACTCCCCTGGACATCCCTACCACGTAGATCTGCCCAGGTAGTAGCTACAAGAGTCTCTAAATCTATTTTTCTAATTTATTCTATAAACCTATATGTACAAGTTCTGTATCCATCCTATTTGTTTTCTACTGTGTCTGTTGTGCATTCTCATTTCAAACCTACAGTGACTTTCATCTTTGATTGTACTCCATACTTTGGAAGGCCATGGTACCTTGTGCTGCCACAATCCTTCATTAATTCCTGGATCTTCAAATCCCATATTCTATGGCTACCAGAACAGATATCACAAAGGCTCAAACTATTTTTCCCTTGATTTTCTACTGATTTTCTTCCATATACCCTGTATGTGAATTTGACTCACCCTTATTTCCAACCACTCAAGTATTGCCTCAATGCATGTTCTGAAAAATGGCATCCAAAGACTAAGTGTTCCAGTGATTCATCTTGTATGCCACATAATAGACATGCTTTCTCTTGGCAAATGCCAAACACACTACAAGAAAGTGGAGATACGAATAAATGTTGTACTAAGCTGTTTAAATGTCACAAATTCATTTACCGACATTTAATTTACATTTGCATCAAATATCGTTAATTTCAATGTCGATAAAAAATTTATGACACTTATTTTACGACATCTAGATAAATGTCAATAAGAAATTTATGATATTTAATTTATGATATTTAGGTAAATATCGGTAAGAATGTTACGACGTTTAATTTACGACATCTAGGAGAAACGTCACTTAAAATTTTCGACATTTACATTAATGTTACTAAACAAATACGACATTTACGTATGATCTTCACAAAATGTCATATTAAAATTTCCGACATTTCGGTAAATGTCAATAAGAAAATTCACAACATATACAAAATGTCGTATCCACTTTACGTGAATGTCATTTAAAAAATTAGTGACATATCTTTTACAATATAGCAAAATGTCGCATTAAATGTTTGACATTTAAATTAATATAGGTATCATATTTTTTAGAATGTAAATAATAATGTTCTGTTTTGTTTCATCATCATTTACATTCACAAATGTCAAACTTTTATAACAAACATGAAATAAATGTAAAGAAAATATCTTTTAATACTGTAACCAAAGAATAAAGTAGCAGTATAAAATATACTTAGTACAAGATAGATATGTCAAATCAAATAATTTGTTCTCACGTAAAACTCAAATCTAACTAAATCATAAAAGATAGTAACTTCAGCGTGTAAGTACGTTAAGATCACTCCTAATTCGAATTAATTTCCTTAACTTCTAGACTAAATCTTATAAAACCAACTATCCACAAGTCAAGCTTTTCATTGCCAGTAATTGACATGTATCACTTCCTTCAAAAATGCTGCACAAGAAGTCGCAAAAAAACAAAAAGAATTATAACTTTTTAATAAAGTGAATTCTTTCCTCCTCCAAAACAATTGGAATACGAAAAATAATAACTGATTGAGGTTCTAAAAGAGAAACAAATTGATAATAAATGTAATACTAGCAGCTGAAGAGAGAAAGAAACAGGCAACATAAAGCAAAAAATCCAACAAAGTGAACGCAACGGCCCAAACCCAACAACAACTGAAATAATCTAATATTATAATGCAGTTGAAGATATTTTTTTGGTTGTGGGGGATGTGGGGGATGTGGGAGAGGAGGGTTGAATTTTGAAATATTAGTTTCCGTAAATGGTATAGTGAGTTGAAAACTAATGAATGTTTTATAAGTTTTGCAAACTATAACATGAAGGGTTTCTCCCTTTGAAAAGGAAGAACAAGAATCTTGTAATTTTTTCAAACTTACCCACTTCTTTTTCTTTGTGCCAACTTCACTAACTGCAGTCTTCTTGATTATGTTAACCTGTGAAGAAATATAAGATTGGTTACTCTGGTAGTTTAGAAAATTGTGAATACAAGATATAAAAAACAGGACAAATCTTAAACTTTATAGCTGTCATTACTATGTTTTGATCTTAACATATTCCAAATGCAATTAATATATTCCAAATGCAATTAATAGAATTGCTGCCAGGACAAATCTTAACAGAAGTATCTTGAGTGATTTCTATTAATATGAAACACTCAAGATGAAACATATTATAAAGCAATATGATAAAGGAAATTATAAAGCAATTAGTAATGACAGCTCCAAAATCACTCAAGATACTTCTATTAATTGCATTTGGAAGATAAGGTCGCTAAATAAGATAAAGGAAATTTGACTTTTATGCCAAGTAAAACTACCCACTAATTATCTCTTAAGTAAGAGATCAATTTAGCTAGATGAAATGAACCATACATCAGAATATACCCTTCAGATTATTTTACACTCAAGCAGCACATAATAGCCACATATCCAAAAAAAAAAAGCAGACATTAGAATTCTGAACCTTATAAGAAATATGCAAGAGAAGAAACTAAATAACTTATAAATCAAACATCATATGATGTTAAAAAATAATCCAACCTTCTACGTGAATAAAGAACAACTGAATCATATATATGAGCAAAAATAAACTTGTAAAAACTTACAATGTGACCTATTTTATACGACCAATCAGCCGCACTCCAACCATAAATATAAGCAAATAACTTTTACATAATCCAATACAACATTTTCTTAATCCTTAAGCCCTTGGTAAAGTAATTTTTCTTTTCCATGGCAGAGATAAATCAAATTGTGCAACTAAATGTGGCAAACATAAACCGCCTTTTAGATTTGATTGTTGCATTAACTTCTTTAGGTCACAGGATTACATGGAATTGTCCTAAAGAAAATCTCCCTATCAATAAAAGTTACTTGAAAGAGGGAGACAAACCCATGTCCCTACAAAAGACCACCGAGTCAATAAGTTAGAGATAATTCAGTTGAGAAGAAAGGGAAAAATGATGTGGAATTGGCTAGAGAGAAACAATGAAGATGATAACCCAGGCTATTAAAACTAATCCACTCTGATTTTCCCCTGCTGGCTTAGGGCCCACTGTTAGCCTGTATGATCATCACAGCGCCACAAACTTTAGCAACTATCACTGACCACCCACGTATATTACAGCTTGAATTTCAATCAAATGCACATACGCAAGAGAAGGAAAAATACTCGGTCACTGCAAAGTTTTTACCAATAACTTAAACCGACTATGTGTGCTTAAACAAAGCATTCTTCTTTTGAAATTATCGGAGCCAATCTGGTTAAAGTGCAACCAGCACAATTAAACCCTTAGGCAATAACTCCAATATAATGTAGACACGTAAAAGATTATAATTAACATTTTCCCAAAATAGCACAAGCTACAAATCCAAGATTTTTTAAAATGGGAATGCAACTATCCATGAAACCCATGTGAGGTACATACCCAAAAAATATATACATAACTTTCTTAAGTTGAAATTAGACACGAACAGAAAGTAAAAGCAATAAACTAAGGCTACACCCATAATAACATAAATTTACAATTTATAGTTAAAAAGATATAGTTAAAATGAGCTTACGAACTCACCTTCTTTGTGTGAACAACGGAAACATGTGATAGTGATTGTTGGTGATCGTCCATTGAGTTATCAGAAACCTATCACAAAAGAGGAAGATTACTACAATTAAAAGAAAACTAAATTACAAGATTATCTTAAAAACAATAAATTTTTACTAAAGAGCACAATATTTTTTACCTGCTCATTACCAAATAATTTCCTATTTGAGCCAATAGTAATACCCAAAGACTTTAGATATGCACCTATACCCAACTTTACTTTCTCGTCTATTTTTGCTTCCATATCCTTTGTTGCTTCAAATATTTTTTTCCCATCTCTTTTATTTCTTATTTTGCTTCAAATAACTTTTTCTCCTTCGCTTCTATTTTTTCATTTGCTTCAGACAATTTTTCTTCCATCTCAATTCTTATGGCGGAGGTAGCTTTTTCAACTTCTATCTCAACCCTTCTATCAAATTCTCTTTGCTCAGCCTGGGATCGTTTATATGCAGGGCCATAAACAAAACTTGGAGCTGCTCCTTTTCCTAGAGTTCGAACATTTTCATGAGTGTCTGATCCCATAACCTGTGCATACACATCATTGGGAGCACTTCCAGGGATATTTAACTCAGGATACACCTTAGCAAGTTCATCCATTTCTTTCTTTTGGAAAGAAAAGGTAAAACAATAAAAAGTTAATAAAATTTTATATTGGAAAGAAAGTAATTTTATATTCATAAAGAATGAGAATTTACCATAGTTTCATTAGCTATCTCATTTATTGGTTGTTTATTCTTTCTCGTACGTGTTTCTTTGAACACCTCGATACGACTTGGTTTTACACCATTCTTCTTTGTCATCTGTTTAAATAGTAAAAAATGAATTACAAATATATTCAAGAAAATAAGTATTGATATATAAATTGCAGAAAGCTTATAGCAAACATGGCATACATTATCTATAATTTGAGAATGACTTTTTCTTCCTGATGTGTGTGGCATACTCAACTTCCTTCGACTTTTTTTGTTCCTCTCGCTTTTTTCCTAGAAAAGTTACACATAATTTTATATATTAGAGATAATTCATGACCAAATTTTTTTAAAAGAAAAAAGATAAAAAGTAAGAAGAATGACAGAGGAAAAGCATAAAAATATTTAAAGGAAAAAGTGTGATCCGCATACGGAATGCGCTAATAGCATGTGCTAAGAGCAAGAGAAGAAGATGCTTGATACTCGGAGAATACCTTTGCTTCATTAGAGCTCCAATAATGAACTAATGCATTCCACTGGTCTTCTTCTATCCTATCTGGACATTTAGATAAGCGTTCAATATCGTTGTTATATGGCTCATAACCGATCATTTTTGCTTCATGCTTCCATTCTTTCCATTTAGATCCAACCGATATCATCAACATACGTCTCATATCCTCAGTAGCATCAGTATTTTCCTGCAAATATCAACATATAACACATGTATAAAAGCATAATATCAATAAGCATCTTAGTATATAATATTTTTTTTTATTTTTTTAAGCACCTTAATATGAGCCCATATCCTATTCTTGTACAGTTTAGGCACAAGCCTCCAATCTTTATGATTTAAGGGAGCTAAAATGCCATTTCGTGCTATGACACCAAGTTTTGAACTCAATCTAGCTGCATCAGGCCTAATAGCTTGGCTAAGATCATTGAACTCAACATGTAAAATGCCACCATCTTTTCCCCATCCTGAGTGCATCATAGTAGGATCCCTAGGTCGCTTAGATTGCTCTTCACTAACACTAGAGTCTGTAATAACCAAATATAAAAAAGAGGTTTCTTATGAAAAAATGTACAAATATACAAAGTGTAACTATTCAAGAAAGATAAGATATTATACATAATAAGTACCTAGGGAATTTTCTATTTCATGTGAATCATTTCTTGATTTACCAGATCGGATAGCTTGTACTTCATTTTGTGGCCAGTTTTGAGGTGGTTGAGGCATTGCCGCACCTCCCATTTGTTCTTCTTGTTACTCCGAAAAATCAGGCAGAAGCATTTCTTGACTGGAAGTTCTCTGTCTTTTTCTTGCCATCACAATAAATTTGCTCAAATACTATAGTTCCTGCAAAATTAAAAAATATTTTCTACTATCCAAAAGTATAAAATAATATCAAACTAACAAGCCAAACAAAAAGACACATGCACATACGAGATTTAAACAACTAAAACGCATAGTAAGAAATCCCCAACACGATGATCTATATATGTTCAATAACAATCTTTACTAAAATAATGACAAAAATAATAAAAGTAACTAAGATATGTCGTCTTCTTCATCATATGTCTCATTACTTTCCAAAGTAAGTGGGTCAATTTCTATTCCCGCACACCTTCTCTAACCCATTCAATATCCTCTTCATTTTCAAATATAGTATCATCCAGCTGTTGTTCTGGCCACAATTCCATGTGCTATTCCATATGCTCATTTGCTAGTTTGTTTTCACCTAAATTACAAAAACCTCTTGGTTTAATTTCAACTACAATCTGCCATTCTTTTGCCATTGGATGATAGACATAAAACACCTGTTGAGCTTGAGAAGCAAAGATGAAAGGTTCATTTGACGGGTGCTGCCTTTTGTAGAGTAGATGAGAAAAATTAACAAGAGTAAATCCATAATCATCGTCCACAATAAGCCCCTTGTTATTGTCTACCCATTCACATCTAAATAGAATAAACTTGAGGTTTGCGGTATAATACAACTCAATTATGTCCGTGAGAATTTCATAAAAGGTGACTTCTACTAATATGGGATTTCTGTCTCTTGCGCTTGCATAGCTCTGAGTGGCAGCCTTTACCATAACCACTATTTTGTATTTTTAGCTTTGCATCACGAGGCTTTTTTAGGTATCTAACTCCATTACTTATGTATCCGCTCATCCTTTTTGCTTGCTTTGATGGGCCAATAATTAGATTTTGAATTTCTTTTGGTATTTGCTCACCTGCCATATGTATCTTCTCAACCTATCAATTATAAATAAGCAAGAACTAATTATAAAATGATATTCTATATAGTGTGTGTGTGTGTGTAAATGCATTTTAGCTGGTTCATAATTACATATTTTCTAAACCATATGTGAAAATTTTCATTGTGAATCTGATCCACATCATGTCTCGATAGACGAGGATTTTGCTTCTTGATTTCTTTTATATGCTCACTGCAAAAGTAAAACACATAAAAACTTAATGAAGAAATTATAAATATTATAACATAATAATTAATTATAAAGCAGAATATTATTGATACTTACTCGCGATATGGAGTTGTGGTAGCAGAATTAAATAAAATATATCTGTGTGCTTGGGCATGGGTAATGTCATCAAGCGTAAACCCGTCAATTTTAGTTGATTGACGAGCCTATTGATTTGGAATCTCATTATACAAATCATAATTTCTTAAAGGTCCATTTAATTTTGTTTTCATATCATGTAAATATCTTGAGCAGAATGTCATGCACTCTTCTATCCAATATCCCTCTGCAATTGAACCTTTTGGATGGCTTCTACTCCTCACATAATTTTTAAGAGTAAGCAAGTACCTAAAATAATAAATAATATTATAGTTCAATATAATACTTCATAAGTACTGTAAATAAGAATAACGAAATGGTACCTTTCAAATGCCCACATCGAACGGTATTGTGGAGGTCCACCAATCTTTGCCTCTTCAGCTAAATGGATGACTAGATGTTCCATGATATCAAAAAAAGATGGAGGAAATATTCTCTCCAAATGACAAAGAGTTATTGCAACTCGATCTTGGAGCTTTTCTAATTCACCTATATTCATAACTATTGAACAAATGCCCCTAAAAAAGTTACTTAATTCGATAATTGGCTTAAGGACATTCATGGGAAGGAGGCCTCGCAAAGCAATACGAAGGAGTTGTTGCATTAAAATATGGCAGTCATGACTCTTCAATCCATGCACAGTGCGTTGCTTAAGATCAACACAACATGATATATTTGAAGCATATCCATCCGGTACTTTCACATCTCTTAAAACTTGTAAGAGCATATCTTTTTGTGCATTGCTTAAGGTGAAACATGCCGGAGGTAGATAGTATTTGCCATTAGCTCTTTGTTTAGGGTGCAACGCCTTTCGAATCCCCATCTCTTGTAAATCCAAACGAGAATTCAGATTGTCTTTTCCTTTCCCGTCAATATTTAGTAATGTCCAAAATATATTGTCAAATACATTCTTTTCAATATGCATTGTGTCAAGATTATGACGAATCATATTATCTTTTCAGTAGTCTAACTCAAAAAATATGCTCTTTTTCTTCCATAAATATTGCAACATGGCATCATCAACATGATCAGAATTCTTCCATTTTCTTTTCTGGGATTTGATCGATGGACATTTTCCGAATTTATTTTTAATACCTTTCAATTGCTTAAGAACTTCAATAAATGACAAACATTTAGGTGCTGCCTCTAACTCCTTAAAATAATCAAACTAAACTTTATCTTTTCGAAACTTGTGCCCATGGGGTAACCATCGCATGCGCGACATGAAACAATATTTTCGCCCATATTTCAATCTCAGAAATTTAGTCTTGTTCAGACAACATGGACAAGCATATCTAGTTTTCACACCATATCCTGATAAGTTACCTAGTGCTGGAAAATCACTGACTGTCCAAAGCAATGAAGTACGCATTTGAAACATATGATTCTTTGATGCATCATAAGTGTCAACACCAACCCACAATTCTTTTAACTCATCAATTAACGGTCGTAGATAGACATCAGTATCATTGCCCGGTGCATGAGGGCCATCAATAATCATTGATAATATCATGTATGGTTGCTTTATGCACAACCATGGTGGCAAGTTATATGAAACCAAGACAACTGGCCATGTACTATGTGAGATAGACATAGACTTGAATGGATTAAATCCATCTGAAGCCAATCCAAGTCTAACATTTTGAGGATCTTGAGAAAAATCTTGATGCGATTCATCAAATTTTCTCCAAGCAATACTATCAGCAGGATGCCACATTACCCCGTCTTTAGTGCGACCTTCTGCATGCCATCTCATATCAGTAGATGTTTTAGATGACATAAATAATCTTTGAAGCCTCTGTATCAATGGAAAGTATCTAAACACCTTTGCTGGAATTTTTGAGGTTTCCAAACTTCTAGATTCACCTACAAATTATTTGTATCTTGGAGCTTTACAAAACTTACAATCAGTTCGATCTTTTGTCTCACTCCAATAGATCATACAATCATTTGGACACTCATTTATTTTTTTGTATTCGAATCCTAAATCTTTAATAATTTTTTTTGCATCATTAAAGGACTTAAGTGACATTTCACCTTCAGGAAACACATCTTTTAACAACTCTAATAGCATGGAAAATGAATTGTTACTCTACCAATTGAGACACTTTAAATGTAATAGACGAACAAGAAAAGAAAGAAGTGAATATTTGCTTCCGGGATATAATTCACGCTCAGCTTCCTTCAATAAGTTAAAAAACTTCTCTGTTTTCTTATCAAATCCCACATTATGTTGATTTGACCCACCAAAACTATCACCACGAGTGTCCGTATTAATAAAGTCACTAATAGGAGGAACTCCAAAAGCATCATGCACCAAGTCTTTTATCTCATCACCTCTATCTAATCTATCCACAGACATTGATGAAGATGATGTCTCTCCATAAAAAATCCAATTAACGTAACTAGGTAGAAATCCATCAACCACAATATGTTCAACAATCAACTCTTTCGGGATAAATTTCATATTACGACACTTTCGACATGGACACAAGATTTCAAATGCATTAGGCCTATCTAATGAGGCAAAATAAAGAAACTTTTTGGCTCCATTCTCATATAAAGGATCATTCCTATTCGATATGTTTATCCAACTCTTATCCATTAAGAATAACCTATATATATAGCAAAATAATCAACTAAAAGAGATTAATTATAGATAGAAACTACAAAGAGTATATCGCAGAATACAAATATTTATTTTAATTTATACACTTTACTAATGACTATACAAATGTGTTCATTCAAGGCATGGAAAAAAAACATATCTAGTTTCTTTAGTTTTTTTCAAAAATGAATCTTACAAACTATTTCACTCTATTGCCACAATATATAATATTTTATCATGACAAAGCAAAATCAAGCTATAGAATACCATAATTGACATCTTGAGTAAATATAACTTTTAAAAAACAAGTATCAAATTGATGTTTGATTGAACTTGATTTAGCTCTATTTTAGATTGAACTAGTAAATGACATCATACTAATCCAATCTTTTCAAATAGTACCATTGTTTCTATACATAAAGTTTAAGTATTACAAACACTTTGCAAGCAAACTTCTAAACAACTAGGAAAGAGGAAACCTACTAAGTATTTTTAGAACACAAAAATCTCATATTAGAGATATGAATAAAGCAAAACAAATTAAAGAACTGCCCCAAAAAAACGAACTTTCTTCCATCCATCAATTCGTCAAACTATGTCTCATCCCCAAATAAGTTAGAGTTGCCTATAAAAATCTAGGTCTATTGTGTTCTTTATTATTTATCTGTTCTTTTATATTTAAATCAATATACTATTTCTATGTTGGCCAAACAACCTACGGGACTCTCTTCCTTTATCGGGTTAAAAAGATTAACATTCTTCAAAAAAAATCCGAACAACTAAGAAAAAGAAAGAAAATGTTTAACCCAAATCCGAAAAATTAAGAAAAAGAAAGAAATCTGTTAACCCAAATCCAAACAACTAAGAAAAAAAAAAGAAATTTGTCAACTAAACTGGTACCTTGACTTTGTAGAAAATAAGCTTTGTGAAATCTCAGTAGCAAAAACCTGGGTGATATAACTTTTTTCTTCTCCAAGTATCTATTATAGCACAGCCAAATGTAAAATATTAGGTTTTTTGAAGAATTCTAACTAAGGAAGGAAACTGTATTTTTTAGAATTGAGAGGAGGGAAGCAAAATTCTTACCGCCAAAATCTTTTCCTTCTAAATCTCCAATACTCTCCATACATAGCTCCTTGTAGAAATTCTGGCCAAACCCAATTTGAGATTTTGTGCCAAACCCGATTCGAGATTTAGATTGAAAAAAGAGCGGATAGGTACTGAGGACTTCTAAGGCTTGGAGTACGGCTAATTTCACTTATGTTTTAAATTGTGGTCAATGGTGGGTTCCTTGGTTCTATCAATATTTTTGTTTTATTTTAAATATTTCATCTTTAAATAAATCCAACATCTAGTAAGTAGTAGTAATAATAATATATATATTTTTACTAAACATTGATATTTTAATAAAAAGTTTTAAATAGGCACAATATTTTAACGTGATACGACATGGAAATTTTATTTAATATCAGGTGAGTTGTAAGCTTCGTGAATCTTTATATTTTTAGTTTAAGAAATCGAAAAGAAAATAAAAAGATAGAAAGTACATTAAAAGTTTAAAAAAATCAAAGGATTAAGCAAACTCTTAAAAAATCAAAATATCTAACAGTTTTACAAGTATAAATAATGCAATAGTGTTAAAATTATTATCAAAAAACACATTTTATTACTTCCCTAAAAGGCTAAAGGTTATATATTATTATCAAACTACAAATTTAGTTACCTTCCTAAAAGTAAATAATCAATAAACTTTATTAATATTATAATTCAAAATATTACTCCTTCATAAATAAATATAAAATTACTTTTAAATAGTAAAATAATAAAAGTCTCGTAATAATTTTGGGAGATAAAAAAACTAAGAAAAAAACCCAATTATAGCGAGTGAAGATATAAAGTTCGGCTATATATATATTCAGAAAAAATGTTCAAATGATATTCACCCTCACGATATTCTCACTTAGTAAATATGCAATACTATGACTCGTTATTTGAGATAAGATCATTCAATTGTTAATGTATTTTGAGGGTCAACACTATTAATTAGAAATTTTAACATATGATTTACCTAGTAATTGTTGAGTGAGCCTCGAACGCTGAGCGATCGGCGTGTTTAGGGCGCATAACCATATGTTTGGGATATAAGCCTCACAAATTAAGCCCTACACTTGAGCCGTTGCAAATGCTTAGCCAGGAGCTAGTCCTAGACGAATTAACCTTTTAAAATATTAATCAACAATAAGAGAAATCGTTTATACAACAACAACAACAACAACAACAACAACAACAACAAAACACAAACCAATATGATCCCACAAGTAGGGTATGGGGAGGGTAGAGTGTACGCAGACCTTACCCTTATCCCGGAGGGAGAGAGAAATCGTCTATGTTATAGGTAATTATCACTAATTAAATATTAAATATAAAGGATGATCTTTTTAGACAAAGAATGATTTAAACTTCGAAAAATTAGAGAAATTTTCAATAGTATATGTAAATGTTCGTAACTACCGACAAATAATATGACATTTAAAGTATGATTTTATTTTTTGTCAGTTGTATCAAAATGTTTTTACAACATTTGATATAAGTGTCGTATCTTTACTAAATTTTGCATCAAATGTCATTTTTATGACATTTTGTACCAAATGTCATCTTTTTTACGACATTTTGTATCAAATGTCTAGTTTTTACGATATTTTGTAGCAAATGTCGTACTTTTTACGACATTTCTTCAAAAAATGTCATTGTTCCGACGACATTTCGTATAAAATGTCATTTTTTTACGATATTTAGTATCAAATGTCATTATTTCTATGACAATTTATATCAAATGTCGTAGTTTTTACGATATTTTGTCATAAATGTCAAAAACATCTTTTTTTCCGACATTTATTTCAATAGTCACTAAATAAATGTCGTCGTATCCTCAATTGCTTGTAGTGACATATTCAGCCTATCTAGTGTGAGCATTCTTTGTCGCATGACTAACTAACATATAAAACTATATTTAGCAACATTGTTTTTATTCTATATCCATCTTTTGTAAGGCCATTGATCCAACTTTTCTCTCCTCTACTCATATCCCTTCTTCACGGTATACTGGCTGCTTTGATGATGCTATCCATTATGATAAAATCCAGGCGCAAACTTGGTCTTGATATCACATATTTTCCTCCAATACCATGCACACTCTTGTGGTGGTTTGTATTGACACCATTATGTTCCTTTCAAATATAAATGGTGTACGGTCGGTCGTTTTGTGTATTTGAGTATTGTTTCCCCCTTTTCAAGCTTCCCGTATGTGTACTTGATGTTTTATGACTTGCGGGGATGGTTGATTTCATTTCGAAAAGGTTTTGGTTTGAATTGTATCAATTAGTTTTCAGTTTAGAAGCTTAAGTTAAAAATGTTGACCGAGGTTTGACTTTTGTGAAATCGACCACGAAATGATATTTTGATGGTTCCAATAGGTTCGTATGGTAATTTCAGACTCAGGCGTATGCGCAAAATTGGATTCGGATGTTCCTAAGTTGATTTAGCTTGCTTTGCCGAAAGTTGGCAATTTGAAGGTTTAGAAGTTTCTTAAGTTTATTGTAGGTTAACTTTATGGCTATCGGTTTCGGATTTTGGTTTCGGGAGTTGGAATAGGTATGTTTTGTCTTTTGAAACTTGTCTGCAAAGTTTGGTGTCATTCCGAGTTGGTTTTGTAAGAATCAGACGCTTGGTTTTGAATTTAACGAATCTTGAGTTTCATTGTAATTTTCATGTATTTTGGTGTTTGATTCGTGGTTACGGATGTTATTTTGGTGTTTTGACTGTGCAAGTGAGTTTGTATGATATTTTTAGACTTATGTGATATTCGGTGTAGAGTCCCGGGGGCTCGGGTGAGTTTCAGATATGTTTCGAATTAGTTTGGACTTGTTTCAGGTTGCTGGTATGCTGGTGCTGCAGTTATCGCAATTGCGAGCACCAGCATCGCAATTGCGAAGAAGTCAGGGGATGCATGTATCACAAATATGATGCCTTGATCGCAATTGCGAAGAGGGGTCACTTCCTGGGCCCACATTTTGGTCGCTTTTACGACCTGGGCAGTCATCGCAAATGCGATGCCTGAGTCGTATTTGCGACATTTCCTTGGCTTGTCAGGCAGCGCAATTTGCGACCCTTTGGTCGTATTTGCGACTTCTACACCTCAACAAAAGGGTGAAATTTCGGGACTTAGTCTCATTTATCATATTTTGAGCCCTAAACTCGGTGGGAGATAATTTTTGAAGGAGATTTTCATACAAAGCTATTGGATAAGTGATTTTGATCCATTTTTTATTACATAACATGATTATTTATCAATTTTAACATCTAGGCCATGAATTTTGAAGAGAATTTTAGGAAACTTTAGACTATGTTTTGAAAAAAATAAATATTTAAGGTATGGGAGTCGAATTGGACTCAGATTTAAAAATAAAACACATATATGGACTCGTGGGGTTATGGGTAGTTGAGATCTACCCTTCGACTCGGGTTTTGACTGGGGGGCCCGGGTTTGACTTTTATTGACTTTTAAAAAATTGTGTAAAGATCTTAACTTTATTAATCGAAATTGGTTTCTCTTGCATTGTTTGATATTATTAAGTATTTTTGGCTAGATTTGAGCTGTGCGGAGGTAAGTTTTAAAGAAAAATCTATTTTTGATTATTTATTTGGCCTAATTGAGGTAAGTATGTTACCTAACTTTGTGTGAGAGAAACTACTCCTTAGGATTTTGTATGTTTGCATTCATTATAATATGTGCAAAGACGTGTACATGAGGTGATGAGTGTGTACACAGGCTTATGTGTGGTAATTGACCGGATTGGACTCTTAGACTATTAATATACCCTTGAATTGAAGTTGTTGTTATATGAAATATATTTCATTAACGAGTTATTCCCCGTTTCAATGTTGTTTTTGTTGTTGTTGTTGTTATTGTTATTGTTATTGTTGTTGTTGTTATTTCTGTTGTTGTTGTTGTTGTTATTGTTATTGTTGTTGTTGTTGTTGTTGTTGTTGTTGTTGTTGTTGTTGTTGTTGTTGTTGTTGTTGCTGTTGCTGTTGTTGTTGTTGTTATTGTTATTGTTGTTGTTATTGTTGTTGTTGTTTTTGCTGTTATTGTTGTTGTTGTTGTTGTTGTTGTTATTTTTGTTGTTGTTATTGTTGTTGTTGTTGTTGTTGTTGTTATGTTGTTGCTGTTGCTGTTGTTGTTGTTGTTGTTATTGTGGCTGTTGTTGCTGTTGTTGTTGCTATTATTATTGTTGTTGTTGTTGTTGTTGTTGTTGTTTTTGTTGTTATTGTTGGTGTTGTTGGTGTTGGTGTTGTTGTTGATATTGTTGTTGTTGTTGCTGTTATTGTTGTTGTTGTTGTAGCTGTTGTTATTGTTGTTGTTGGAGCTGTTGTTAGTGTTGTTGGTGTTGGAGCTGTTGTTGGTGTTGTTGTTGGTGTTGCTGTTATTGTGGTAGCTATTGTTGCTGATGTTGTTGTAGCTGTTGTTGCTGATGTTGTTGATGTTGTTGCTGTTGTTGTTGCTGATATTGTTGTTGTTGTTGTTGTTGCTGATGTTGTTGTTGTTATTGTTGTTGTTGTTGTTGTTGTTGCTATTGTTGTTATTGTTATTGTTGTTGTTATTGTTGCTGTTGTTGTTGTTGTTGTTGTTGCTATTGTTGTTGTTGTAGTTGCTGTTGTTATTGCTATTGCTGTTGTTAGGGTTGTTGTTGTAGGTGTTGTTGTTGTAGCTGTTGTTGTTGTTGTTGCTATTGTTGTTGTTGTTGTTGCTGCTGCTATTGCTGCTGTTGTTATTGTTGCTGTTTTTATTGTTGTTGTTGTTGTTGTTGTTGTTGCTGTTCTTATTGTTGTTGTTGTTATTATTGTTGGTTTTGTTGTTGTTGTTGCTATTATTGCTGTTGTTGTTGCTGTTGTTGTTGTTGATGTTGTTGCTGTTGTTGTTATTGTTGTTGTTGTTGATGTTGTTATTGTTGTTGTTGTTGATGTTGTTGCTGTTGTTGTTATTGTTGTTGTTGTTGATGTTGTTATTGTTGTTGTTGTTGTTGTTGCTGTTGCTGCTGGTGTTGTTGTTGCTGTTGTTGTTGTTGTTGTTGTTGTTGTTGTTGTTTTTGTTGTTGTTGTTGTTGCTGTTGTTGTTGTTGTTGTTGTTGTTGTTGTTGTTTTTGTTGTTGTTGTTGTTGTCGTTGTTGTTGTTGTTATTATTG